ATGAATTTGAAGTAAAACAGGACATTTTAAATAGATCTCAAGTTTAAGCCATACAGTAGTTAAGGAGAGAAATAAATTAAGTTTAACCATAGCAAACCATTTCCAACATTAAGTCAATTAGGAGGGGCTCCCTCCGATGCATCGTCCCATACCAATACACCGGCCAAGCCATTCCAGCCAATCATCACATTTATGTTGGTTCATCCCCGTACCATGTATGTTGATTGTTTCTCATGAATCTACCCAACGATTATACCTAGTCCACCCTTTTATAATCACAATCACAAGTACTTAGGGAAGGGGCGTCTACCATCCCAATGGCAGTGACGAGTCCCTCCCCAGGAATGGTATACCAACCCTAGTTCGAACTCCAGGCGTACGATAGTGGTCGCATTACCAAATGACAACTCACTACAAGTGCAAGAAACCATCTCCCCCCCCACTGGGTTCAACTGACATTTACACTCTACGGCATATCTCGTAGGTAATCCAAGTCCCTCACAACCACCATACAATGAGTAAACCAACATATTCTCAATCAATTCACATTTTACCAATTAATCGCAAAATCCCAAATTTCACAAGTAAAGCGTCATAGCAAGATGGAATTAAAATGAGCAAAAGATCAATATAAAGATCATTTTCGTTGAACAATATCGAACACTAAATTTATAAAGTGAGAACCAAGGCAATATATGGAGAAAACTCAATTTTTCTTAAAACCAAGTTTGGAAGATGAAAAAGAGAAATTTAGTGGTTACCAAACCATCCCATTATTCAAACATAGCATTTTTTTTTTTTTAACGCATGTGGGGTATTACAAAGGGGAGTTGGGTTTTATACCCACCAAAAGGCTACTTTGGAATTTGGATTGTATAACTTGAAAGGGTTAATGTTGAGACTAAGTATTGCCAAAAGAATGTCAACCCGTTGAATGTTTTAAGCAGAGGTGGTTAGGTGAGATATTCCAATAGCTGAGTGAGGGGCAATTTTTTTTTTTTTTCAAATTGCTTAGACTGCTAGATGGCAACCACTTATACAATATATTACTCGTTTATATAGACTTCCGAAAAACAAAAGAAAATTGCAAATTTACATTCGCGCGATTTTTGCTAAGGTAAGAGCAACTCCAACGGGAGTTGCCATAACAGGTGTCAAACCAATAACCACTAAAATAGCATCCCAACTGCAAAAATTTTGACTCCAACAAAGGTGGTATCAAAGGTGGCAAAATAGCATCTAGGATTTTGGGGTGACATATTTGGGAACTTTGGAGAGAGAATTGAGAGGTTGCAAAATAGTCGTTGGTGGCTATTGTTATATTCCACCCAAAATTTCTATAAAAATACAGAGAGAGGAAAGGGGAAGGAGACTTGCCTAAAAATCGTTGGTCAATTCTACTTGTTTGAAAATCACTTCCTTGATATTGAAAACCCCTTGCCTTTGATATACCCCTCTTCTGCTATCTCAAGCGAGCTTCACCCACTAGAATAGAAGCTTCAAGGTTATGGGTGTTTTAATTTTGGGTGATTTTGTTTAGGGTTTAGGGGAAGGAGAAGGGGGTAAGGTCTGAGAATCGAAGGGAAGGGGAAGGGGAATGGGAAGGGGAAGGGGAAGGTTTGTCTGGACCGTTCCAGATTGGGCTTCTATTTATGTTAGGTCAAATGACACTTTGTACCCCCAAAGTTAATTGTATTGTCATGTTATACCATTAAATTTTTTGATATTGTCATATTACAACATGTTATTTAATTGTATTGTCATATTATACCATTAAATTTTTTTGTATTGTCATATTACACCATTAAATTTTTTTGGTATTGTCATATTACAACATGTTATTTAATTGTATTGTTATATTACACCATTAATTTTTTTTGTATTCTCATATTATACCATTAAATTTTTTTATATTATCATATTACACCATTAAATTTAATTATATTGTCATATTACACATTAAATTATTTTGTATTGATTATTTTATCTTACCTTTAAATTGATTATAATTTTTTTTTGTAGATGGATTTACAATATGACGGTTCTTTCATTGATTTGCTTATGAACGACACCGATTTATATGATGATGCTATGCAAATTAATCCCACAGTATTGGGGCCAGTACAAAGTGAAGCAGTTCCAAGAGTGAGAAAATCGCAAAGGACAAAGAACTTCTCTGTAGAAGAAGATAAATTAATTGTGTCTGCGTGGCTTAACACAAGTAAAGATGTAATTACTGGGAATGAACAACAAGGTGGTTCTTTTTGACAAAGAATATTGCAATACTTAAAACTTCATGGAGGCAATGAAGAAGAGTGTTCGCAATCTTCTATTAAAAGCCATTAGACTGATATAAATGCAAAATGCGACAAATTTGTCGGTTTTTATAGTCAAATTGAAAGACTGTGACAAAGTGGACACACCGAGAAAAATAATGTAATGATTAAGCTTTTAATTTAGACACTACTATGATTTGATATTTGAACTATTCACTGAATAATTTTATTTGTTTTTCAAGTTGATGACGCGAAAAAAATGTTTGCTAAGATTATTGGAAGACCATTTCAATACGAGCATTGTTGGAATATATTGAAAATAGAGCGGAAATGGACTGATAATCTCGCAAAAAATAAGAGAGCAAAAACTCATTCAACTGGTAGTCCTTATGAATCAACTCATGTTGAATTTTGCTATTCAACTATATATTTAGGGGATGACACTGAACCCTCGTTCACTCCCAACCTCGATAGGCCATTGGGCAGAAAGGCTTCGAAGAAATAACTTAAAAACAAAGAGAAACAAACTAGTGTTGAAGCATCACTAGATCATCACCACTGGAATGAAAGAATGGAAGTGGAACGACAAAAAGTTGAACGACACGGCAAAATTTATGCTCAACAAGAGATAGCATTGGAGCAACATCGTAGACAGTTAGAAATTGAAGAAAGGCCGGTGCAAGAAATTGAAAGGCAGAATGAAATGTAGAATGAACTGAAAATCATGGAAACTGACACTACTGGTATGGACCCAATTTCTGCAACATATTAGAATAGCCTGAATATAGAGATTATGAAAAAGCGGGGTTTTAATTTTTAGTCGTTATTTATTATGCTGCTATTATTTTTTAATTTTTAGTTATTATTTATTATGTTACTATTATTTATGAAAAACTATGTATTGAAAATATAACTTGAAATTGAAATTGGAATTGAAAGTATAACATGAAATTGAAATTGGAATTGAAAGTACAACATGAAATTGAAATTGGAATTGAAAATACAACTTGAAATTGAAATTGAGAAAATTATTAGTCGACAAGTCGTTCCCACAAATACTCGATAAGATTTGACTGCAGTGGAGAATGAGTAACACTGTCCCTGATCTAATAATGGGTTTTCATGAAATCTTCCAATTCTAGTGTATACGCATGCGACATTTCTACAGGCGGATTTGCATCACTTCCATCAAAGCCATTGTTACCAATATCTCCTTCATCCTCAATGACCATATTATGCATTATTATGCATGCTTTTCATAATATCTGTAAGCGTTTCTTCATCCTAAAAGTGTGTTGATCCATGTACGATTGCAAAATGGGCTTAAAGTACCCCAAATGCCTGCTCTACATCTTTTCTTGTCAACTCTTGTACTTTAGCAAAATATTATTTTTTCAAACCTTGTGGACAGGGAATTGTTTTTACAAATATCGACCAGTTTGGATAAATAGCATCAGCTAGATAATATTCCATTGTATACTCATGGCCATTAATTATATAGTTGACTGGAGGAACATGACCATTTGCTAATAATGCAAAAACAGGGGACCTATCTAGAATATTTATGTCATTCAGCAAACTAGAAAGCCCAAAAAATGCATGTCATATCCAAAGATCTTGAGAAATCATAGTTTCTAAAATGATTGTTAGTTCATGACAATGATCAGTATACATATCTTGCCATGTTGTAGGACAAATTTTCTACTTCCAATGCATACAATCAATACTCCCTAACATGCTGGGAAAACCACGTTGTTCCCCCGTCTATAGCAATCGAGTAATATCGATATTGTTTGGTGACCTCAAGTAATGGTCATCAAACACTACAATAATAGCTTTCACAAATCTTCTCAAACTCTGTATGACAGTGCTTTCTCTAATTCTGATGTATTTATCCACAGAATCTGCCGATGTTCCGTAAGCAAGAATTCTATAAGCAACGGTTATCTTTTGAAGAGATGACAAACCGAGAACTCCAACAACATCTGTTGTTTAGATGAAATATGGATCGTGTTGTTCAACCTCATTTACAATTTGGAGAAAAAAGAGGATGACTCATTCGGAACCTCATTTGAAAAAAACTTTCATATACACAAGGGGTAGCAAAATAGTCACGATATAGTTTTTCGTGACCTTCAACTCTACCACGATTAACTATTCTGTGACTTGAAATACAACCACGATGTCTTCTTATCCGTCATTGATTAGACCCATCTGACCTTTTAGTTGCAACATACAACATATTCAAGTCATCATTATCTTCTTTTTCAATATTGATGATCTCTCCTAAAATATTAGAATAACGATTCATAAAACTTGATGAATGAAAATATGAAAGGATAAATAGTCAAAGAGAAATGAGATATTGAATTTATAAAGAGAATGTAAAATAGATGGATGAAAATATGAGAAAAATAATCATATTTATAGACGAATTATATTTTTTTTATTTTTTATTTTGGCAGTTAAATTTTCGAATTTGAATTTCTAACGATTAAAATTTGAAATTTAAATTTTGGCAAATAAAATTTAAAATTTGAAAATATAAATTTTTATTATAAAAATATATCAGTTAAATTTCGATAGTTATGAAAACTATACCTGTTAAAATATAATCATTAAATTTAATTATATTTTTTAATAAAAAATATTAAAATATTAAAATGGCACCCCATTTTAACATTAGAACATATACTCTGTTCAAAATGCCAAGATCCGATTCTTGCAAAATGACATTTCTCACGCCATTTTTCGCAACTCCCCTTGGAGTTGCTCTGAAGGCAGTAAGCTTATGGCTTCAGGCCTAGAGAAGCACGCATTCGACTCTCCTCGCTTCTCATCTTCATGCCTTCTTCACTTCTTCAACTCATTTTGTTCATACCCAGAGCACCGTTCTCTCTCATTTCATTCTCAACCTACATTTCAACAATCAAACATACACAGTTCAGCCAGTCACCACTACCCGTTATTCAAAATTTTTTGTCACTCTTACAAGAATCTTCGAAAAATCTCATCTTGGTTAGATCCATTCATGCCCAGATTATAACCAATTCACTCTATACAGACCAATATTTATCTAGTAAACTGGTCAAGGCCTACTCAGAGTTTGGTTGTTTCAAAGCTGCCCGTTATGTGTTCGACCAATTTTCTCACCCGGAAGTGTTTTTATGTAATGCCATGATGAAGGCATATTCGCGGGATGGGCGGTACCGTGAGACCCTTGAGATGTTTCGAATGATCCGTTTATGTAATTTAGAAATTGACAGTTGCACTTGTACTTTAGCTCTCAAAGCGTGCACAAGCTTGTCAGATCATGATACTGGGATGGGAATCATAAGAAGTGGTATGGAATGTGGGATGCACAATAATCAGTTCTTCGGAAGTTCGATGATAAACTTTTTGGTTAAATTCGGCCATGTTGAGGAGGCGAGTAGGTTGTTCGATGACATGCTGAATAAGGATATTGTGTGTTGGAATTCTATGATTAATGGTTACGTCCAAGATGGCCGCAGTAAAGAGGCTTTTGATTTGTTTTTCAACCTGCGTGGTTGTGGAATTAGGCCAAGTCCTGTGACAATAGTGAGCTTAACACAAGCATGTGGAAGGATTGGGAATTTGGAACTTGCAAAGTCTATTCATGGCTGTGTGCTTGGGTTGGGAATGAGTAATGATACTGTGGTTCTTACCTCATTAGTTGATATTTATGGTAAGATAGGTGACATCGAAAGTGCTTATTTGGTTTTTAATAGGATGCCTACGAAAAGTTTGGTATCATGGAATGCAATGATCTCAGGGTGCATTAAAAATGGTTTGGTGTATCAATCTTTTAACCTCTTCCACAGATTAATGGGTAGTGGTGGTGGGTTTGATTCGGGAACCATTGTTAGCCTTCTTCAAGGTTGTTCACAAATAGCTGACCTGGAAAGTGGAAAGATCCTCCATGGTTGCATTTTAAGATGGGGTCTTGAATTGAATCTCATTTTGTCTACTGCGCTTGTCGATTTGTATTCCAAATGTGGTGCGATAGAGCAGGCAAGCTGTGTTTTTAAGTGTATGGAAAATAAAAATGTGATTACATGGACTGCTATGCTGGTAGGCCTAGCACAAAATGGGCATGCAGAAGGTGCATTGAAATTATTTAATCAGATGCAAGAAGAGGGAGTTGCTTCCAATTCTGTCACTCTTGTTAGTTTAGTCCATTGTTGTGCCCATTTGGGCTTCTTGAAGAAAGGAAGGAGTGTACATGCTCATTTGACACGGTGTTGGTTTGCCTTTGATGTTGTTAACTTGACGGCCGTAATTGATATGTATGCCAAGTGTGGAAAAATAAAATCTGCCGAAAAAGTATTCAACAATGGCCATGTCTCTAAAGATGTTATCTTATGGAACTCTATGATAACTGGCTATGGTATAAATGGTTATGGACATCAAGCTATCTATGTGTATAGTAGAATGATCGAGCAGGGAATCACGCCTAATCAAACTACATTTCTTGCTCTTCTAGCTGCATGTAGTCACTCGGGACTAGTGGAAGAGGGGATCAATCTATTTAACAGGATGGAAACAGACCATAACGTCAAGCCTGCTAAGAAACACTATGCTTGTGCTGTGGATCTTCTTAGTCGAGCAGGCCGTCTTGAAGAGGCTGAGGCATTCATTAGAAAAATGCCTTTTGAACCGGATACTTTTGTTCTTGAACCTTTGCTGAATGGGTGTCGCACTCACAAGAAAATTGATATTGGATTACGAACTGCGGATAGGTTGCTTCGCTCGGATATTATGAACCCTGGAATTTATGTTATGGTAGCAAATATATATGCTGAAGTGAGGAGATGGGATGCAGTAGATTACATCCAAGGCCTCATGAGGAAAAGGGGGCTGAAGAAAACCCCTGGTTGTAGCTCAATTGAAGTAGGAAACCATCTCCACATTTTCTTAGCTGGAGATGATTCACATCCAAACTGGGCAGAAATTTATCAGCATTTGGAAACTTTAAGATTAGAAATGGAGGCTTCTGGATATGTGCCTGATACTAGTTGTGTTCTCCGTGATGTTGATGAGCAGATGAAGGTGAAGTTGCTGTGGGGACATAGTGAGAGACTAGCAATGGTATTTGGACTTTTGAGCACACCAGCTGGAAGTGTGATTAGGATCACCAAGAATCTTCGTGTATGCCGTGACTGTCATATTGTGACTAAATATATATCCCAGATGGTCCAGAGAGAGATAATTGTGAGAGATGTTAACCGTTTTCATCACTTCAGAGATGGGAAATGTTCTTGTGGTGATTACTGGTGATGAGGGCCTTCTTGAGAGATTGGTGTAGCATGTGGCATCTATGTCTCAAGCTGCAGGAGTAGCAGATGTTTTAGCTGCTGGCCTCCTTCCCTGGATGACTGTGAAATGCAAGTACTTCTAAAGTGCAATGGTATGAACAAAAATTTTTTTTGGCTTTAAACCTTTATCTATTTTTTTTATAAAAAAAAATGTGCATTTTGCAAGTTAGTTGATTGTTCATATAAATTTTTTGTTTCGTTTTGTCTTGTCTCATTTTTTATCCTGATGTTCTTGTATAAAAGCGATGGTTGGTAGGGTAGAATTGTGACTTTGCTCGAGATCTGGGTGAAGGAATGAAGAGCACCTTTTGTCAAGGGATGTTTTGTTTCTTGCAGAAAGCCATTAGGATCTAAGACTATGCATGCTACACATTTGTGCACGATTAGTTTACCTGGCATGCGCAGCTGTACACAAGTGGGAGTTTCCTTTGTAGTTTGTTGTCCTCTTCACATTTAAAGGCCACAAGCTAATTATGGCTGAATGACATTGATTTGACCCCAGATGTCTCACTTGTTTCCCTTCATGAGAGATCTGTTTCAGGTGATCTTTTAGAAGCAGTAAAAACTTCAGACACATTTTAAGGAACTCTTCAAGAAATCGGAGAATACCGTAGCTTATTGAATCTATGCTAATGTTTCTTCTTCTAAAATTAAAATTATTAGCAGCATTTCTTTACATGCACTAGGAAAATACTGATATTCTATGGGGGACACGAATTCTTATTTTTGAATGCTAAATAAGCATTTTTCATCATTTTTCTATTTGACTCATTCTCGTGACAGCAGTGAAGGTTCATAGGTGTGTGTTGCCCGTATCAAGACTTTCAAACCTTGGAGGTCAATAGAGGGAATCTTTCTACACCAAGCAAAAAACTAAAGGTCAGCATTTGGAACAACTCGACTACTAAATGATAACTTCATTCATTTTAATTCGATATTTCATGCAATGCCAATTTGGTCATTGATGAGTTGCATAAACTTAATGGTATTCTGAATATCGTTTTTTATAATATTAATTATGTTTTACTATTAGATCTAACACCTTGAGGAATGGAGACATAGCGAGAGACTCTCGATTCGCTGCCCTATATTTTGAGAAAGTAGAATAATAAAGGCTATAGTACCATACACCAGCAACAACAACAACAACAACAAAAAAGCTTATTTGAGAACGTTTGGAGAGGCTCACGGGGCTAGACCCATCGAAAACCACAAACAAAAGCCTTTACTAAACTAAGAAAGGTGGCCTCAGGAAAGCTTTTCAAAAGACTTGACCTCCGAAGTGTTGACCCAAGCAAGGGCATTTCAGCAGTTGGTCGGTCAAGACCAATTGGGGATGTAGGATTCTGGTAATTTCGTCACATATAGAATTCGTCAGATTCAAAGACTAAAATTATCATATAGGTTAGCTGTTAAACAGAATATCTTTAGGGTTTATCAGAGATAAGTGGGCAGCTTTGTTTGATTAATTACCAGGCTAATCAAGGTAAACTAATCAAGGTAGAGTAATACTACTTGAAATTAAAAATTTGACCTAATTTGCTGACATAATGATGTAGTTTCAATAGAACTATTGGATCAATATAAGTTTCAATGTTCGATGGATTCCACAATCAATCTAAAAATTATAGTGAATTAGATCAGTAAATTAAGTTTAATAACATTGCTCATCAAGGTAAAGTGGTTCCTTGCTCGGAACAATAATAGAGAATCATTTATTACTTGTTCACCTATGATTGGTTTTGTAATTTTTCCTTTCTTTATTAATATATTTGTTGTTTCTTATCGCCTCATCTGCAGACGGGAGACTCAATTCTGTAATAAGTTTATTTGCTGTACAACCGCTGACAAGATATGTTTCATTGTTTCGTCTGTATTAAACAGCCAAGAGACTCCCCTGCTCTGACACGTCTCAGCTTTCTCAAAGCGTCGGCTTTATTTATTCTTCTGTTCAAGTTGGCTATTAAGTATCTTTTTGTACCAGGCTAGGTTTCCAATTGTGCTTCACTGTTCTTGGCAACTTCGTTGCTGTACAGATATGAATTAGAATTATGTCACACGTATTTTTTTTTATCATTTTTAATCTTTATTTTATTCTATGTGATGCAAAGTAATTTCTGTTGACTATTGTTATTGACAAAGATTAAAATATCGTTTTAAAGCGATCGAAACATCTGAAATATTTTCGTTTCTTAGGAAATCGAAACGAATCAGTGATGAAATTAAAATTCTAATACTTCGAGGTGTTCCATAATGTTTCGAAATATTTTGTTATATTTCAATGTATTTACACAATTATTTCAGAATGTTTTAAGGCATTTCAAATATTTTTGTATATTTCGACCAATATTTTAAAAAAATAATTCTTAAACTTTTAATTTTTTTCATTCTATTTTCAAAACGGATCGAAACGTTTCTGAAACGTTTCGAAATGTTTTCGTTTCTTAGGTGACCAAAACAATGCACCGAAATAAAATTTTGATCCTTGTTTATCGGATTGTTTGATCCAGTGGAGTCTTGTTTAAGTAGGTTTTGTGTGTTCCCATGGATTATGTAGTCCGCCACTCGTATTGAGTGGGGGTCGTTGTCAAGGTAATCTTGATGAAGGTTTGTCTTGTGTAATGATGTAGGGGATGATATGGTAGAGGTGATCATGTATGTGTCTTTCTGCAAAAACAGATTTTGGAATTTAGAAATTGTGTAACTGAAAAAAAAAAAAATTATTCTGGACACACTCAATACTTGGTATTCATTCTAAACACCTCCAATTCCACACTAGCAAATTGAGCATTCATTGTCCCTCTTGTTAGTGTTATGTTACGTCTGAAACTGTCAAAAATCTGTGAGTCACATAAGAAGGGTCAGGTCAGGTCTAGGTCACTTACTTTGAAGATTGAAGACATACAGTCAGCATTTGTGGGAGACTGAAAATTTGATTGAATATTGCATGATCAGACTCATTGGTTGACTCTGGGCAGGATTGTTAAGTGGACTTAGAGACCGTAGTTGATATTAATGGATAACTACGTTAAAGATAGATTTAGATGATTTGATTTTTGTGATTCATACTTAGTTTTGGTATTATCATGTTGTTAATATGAATGATGGTTTCTTTAGGAAGTGTTGTTTAAGGTGAAAAGCACATGAAGAAGCCAAGGTCACCTGTTGTCTAGGCGTGAGGCGATGGTTGGACTTCATCGAAGCAAGGCAATTGTTGTAGATAATATAAAAGTCATAAATTATATCACCAATAACAACTGAATTTTAGGTAAATATATCATATACAACTCATCTTATTTATCAATAAAATTCTGCAAAAAAAAAAAAATGCCAATTGCAGGCAACTCGTTTTACCTAATTTTGAACAGCTTAAAATAAATTACAGCGAGATTCATGGCAAAATTAGTCTGATTTAGCACAAAGTTAGGAAATGACAATAAATTCAATAATATTTCAAAAAACAACTAACTTAAGAATTATTTGCATTTTAACCAAGTTCAAAATCGAATTTCAGTAAAAAAATTCCTAACAAAGCTAGAAAAGGAGAATAAAAGGGAGGGAGATAATAGAACAAAGCCAGGGATTTGGGGTTAATTTCAACAAAAAAAAATTAGGAGCCAATTTCAACAAAAAAAAAAAAAAAACTACATAGAAAGAAGAAGGATGTTATTTGAAGTTAGTTTGAAGGCCTAATTTAAGGACATAATTCATTTTGGCCACATTAGGTTGATAGTTGAATTGATTCAATGTTGAGACAAGTGACATATTTAGTAGTCACTTATGAAAGCACAGTTGTTTCGTCTAATATGTTACTCGTCAGATACTCGAGAAAAACATATTAAATACGAATTATACTTATCTAATTTGATAATTAATAAAATATGTGGATATTTCTAATTATGGAGCAAGATGTATAATTTTTATTTTTAATATATATCATCTCTTTTTGAGTTTACATACAATATAAAACATTCGCAAATTTTCATTTGATTTTGAAAACACGAGAATTTTTTTAAGTATTATTTACTAGGGTTAAATGCAAAAATACTCCATATACTTAGGATCATTTGCACATGACATCCTCATAGTTTTTAACTGTTGCACTAAAATCCCCTCAAATTAAAAAATAAAGTGTAAAAATAGATGAACGTTACTAGTTTAACGGAGTGTGTGTATCACGAGCAAAAAATGCGTGTGAAGATAAAATGTGTCAAAATAATAATGTATAATTCCTAAAACACCCTCAAGCCCCTATCTCCCCAACCCGGCCATCTCTCTCTCTCTCTCTCTCTCCCACAACATCTAATTCCCCGCCGAAACCCACCACCTGCAATACCCCCACTCCAGCCACTTCCGCCTCACCATCCCCACGCCAACCCACCCCCAGCAACTCTCCCTTCCTGACCGAAACCCACCCCCCTGCAGCACTATCCTCACTCCATGTTCTCTCTTCAATCCCAAAACTTCATCTTCATGGCCCTTCTCTCTCATTCGCTCCAACCCAGATCAAATTCACTTCCCTTCTTCACCTACACAATAACCATACAATACCCAAATCCGCAACACAATCATCGGTTTCTTCACAAAGAAAAAATTTTAAAGAGAAAAAAGATGTGTTGGATTGACATCTGGGTCTCTCTTAAAATCAGAAAAAAAATCCAGCCATTGGGAAACAATTGGGAAAAATTTTAGAGAAAAAATTTAACAAAGAAAAATTTCTTCACTAATCTCCGATTCTCTTTCATTGAGAAACTTTCATGGTTTTCTTTCAAAGACCATAGTTTATTTGTTGAATTGAAATTTGGGTCTCTCTTACAATCAAAAATTGTTGATGATTTTTGTTGGGTATTATTGGGATGGTGAATAATCATCAAGAAGATGGGGACAATAAGAACCACCAATCAGCCGTTGCGATTGGTGGAGGAGCTGCCAGGTCATGGGGCACCACTGCCTCTGGCCAATTGGTTCCGACCAGCGGCAGTCTTGGGTCCCCATCGAGCCGTAGCGAGGCGGCTAATGGCACATCGGCAATTGAGAGCACTTTTTAGAGGCCAAACCACCTCGGCATTCACGGGAACGATGCCAGATCTCAAGGGGCTGCTGGGTTTTTTTTTTTAGCTCTTTCTTTTTGTTGAAATCATAACCATGTATTAGCTGTTGTCAAAATGATGCCTAAAGTAAATCCCAAGTTTTAGTTCAGGAGTTTAGCTCAGATTGAGAGGTCAATTATACTAACTGAGGTCAGAAGGCAAAGGGCTGAATGTTTCTTAAGACAAGGCAACGGCTGGATAACCACGTGAAGTTCCTAAAGCATTAGGAAACTATAATTAAGGCACATAATTTTAACCAACCAAAATCTTCTCCTAGAATTAAGGAGAAGCCCACGAAATAAGGGTCAGAATCTCGGCCAAGATCGCACTGAATAGGGAACAGTCCTATAAATATTATGTAACGCCCCCAAAGAGGGCAAGATCAAAAAAGGCAAAAACTAGTCATTGTATTCTTGGAATCATCATTATTGAAAGACAAGGAGCAAGAATCTTCATTGAAGAGTGGATTAGCCGAGCTCTCGAGCTGGTGAACCACTATACTTCTTCTGTGTTAATTCTCCCAGCCCCAAGAAAAACATTTCTTTCATTATCACCTCACCATCACAGCAAAACATAATTATAATTCGTTACTCATACAATTCGGTTTACACCATCAGTTTGGCGTCGTCTGTGGAAACGAATGTTCTTGTTATAAATAAATCTGATTTTCTAGTGACTGATGGTATCAACGCGAAACATGAGCCGAAGTTAGACCAATCCTCTACGGATGCAAGATCAACAAGAAGCCGCAAATAACAGATAGCCCAAATATGCGTAAGAAGCAGGTCCCCCCATGGGGAACCTTCCCATGAATAATGAAATGGAGGCCCTTCGTCTTGTCAATGAATGTCTGATAAAACAGAACGAAGAGCTCTTAAAGCTCCTACAACGCCCACAGGCCAGAATAATCTACTACCAAGGAAGCAATCGCATCTCGACCCCCTCAGAGAAGTTAATGAGGTGAGAGAGAATAATCAAACCTTGGGGCAAAAACCTCGCCTACCCCCTAGGGATGGTCACAATTAGGAAGTGCAAAGTCAGTATAAGGAAGGGGAGAGGAGCGACTTCTTCCTTTATCAACAGGAGAGAAGAGAACATCATTGGGAGTAACGTTTCAAAGACATCCAACAAGAGCTTAGCCAGATGATGGAAGCAGTGAAGAGCAAGGCCCCAGTCACTATGGATGCCTTGGTACAGCAAATCGAATCACCATTCACTACTGGGGTGCTACACTTCCCTCTCCCACATAAATTCAGAATGCCGCAGGTGGATGCTTTCGATAGGACAAAGGATCCCGTGGATCACCTCAATACCTACAAAAATCAAATGGAGTTGCATGGATGTCAAGATCCAATGAGATGCAGGGCCTTTGCTATCACCCTGAAGGGCTCAGCTTAGCATGGTTCAATAGACTCCCCCCCAGCCTCGATCTCCTATTTTAAAGAGTTGTCAATCTCGTTTGTGTCCCACTTCATTGGAGCTCGGATCTATAGAAAACCGAGCTACCATTTGTTAAATGTGAAACAGGGACCTGATGAGAACCTACGGTCTTATGTCCAACGGTTCAACTCAGAATCCTTGAAGGTGGATGTTTCAGACGAAAAATTTGCTATTACAGCCTTCATAGTAGGTCTGGGAGTTTAGTCAAAAGATCTGATATTTTTCATCTCAAAGAACCCGTAGGCTAGTATGGTGGGGGTGCTCGCCAAAGCAGAAAAGTACATAAATGGTGAGAAAGCGCTCCTCTCCAAGGTCGGGAGCTCTTTATCAAGAAAAGAGAAAGGGAAGGAAGAAAAGAAGAGAGAACGAAGTCCCAGAAAGGAAAGAGAGCGAGGCAGGTCTCCAAGAAGAGATAGAGAGTGTTCCCCGAAGAGAAGAAGTAATGTCAGGGATCGCCTTGGCCCTCCACAACTAGAGCTACAGCCGATGTATGCACCCCGACAGCTCACTCCTCT